TTAATTATTGCTGATCCATGTTATAGTGGCCCCCCCCCCCCCAAACAAAAAAAACCCCAAAAAACCAACAAACACACAACCTGGCAAAACATCTTTCAGTTGTTGGATCTTCAAGCATTTATTTCTCTCTCTTTTTCCTTTTTGGAACTGTACTTTGTTTCCTTACCTGGCAAAAACTAAAGTCCAGTATCCATGTCATCATCCAAGATGGAAGTGTTCATACTCTTTGATCTGCATTATCCAGATTTGTATCCGATGAACCCTCTGAGCTTAATAAAAGCCCAGGGCAGGGTTCCTGTGACATCTGAGGATCTTACTTGGGTCTAACATTTATGCCTTGGAAATGATTAATTGAATACAAGCCGTTCCATGACTTGTATTCAGCACATTATTCTTCTGAGGGATATGGAAGCAACATCTTTCACAGGAGGCCGTCACACTGATCCAGTCTGAGAATATTTCACATGGGATATTTATTTCACCTTTTTTGAAACTGAGCAGTAACTGTTGTAGCTTTGACTTGCTCCTTGACAGTTTATAATCTCAGTCTCAGGCACCCATTCTCTTTCACCAGAGTTTCTTGAATACTCTATGGTCAAGATTTTCAAAATGAGAGTGTAAATAGGATTGCCAAAGCCACAGTTAGATACCTCAGCAAGGGCCTAAACATGACTTTCAGAAGTGCTGTTCATCTACCAATTTCCCTCATGAGGGGAAATTCAACATGCAAACAATGAAATTATTAGTTTTTATACATCAGGGCATTTATAGACATGTTCTGGGAGGTAGGGTGGGAAAGGGGCACTTTGAATTAGTGCAGTTCCAAGAGCCACGTTAATTAAACCAGCAGCACACTTACACAATGGGGAACTCCCTACTTGAGAGCATGGAGGCAGAAAGAGATCTTGGAGTCATTATTGACTCCAAGATGAACATGGGCCGACAATGCGAGGCCATGGTTGGCAGGGCTAACCGGACCTTGTCGTGCATCCACAGGTGCATCTCGAGTAGAGCCAAGGAGGTGATCCTCCCCCTCTACGCGACACTGGTCAGGCCACAGCTGGAGTATTGTGTCCAGTTCTGTGCGCCCCATTTCA